TCGGCCGCGCAGGGGGGCGGCGGGCTGGCTTTGGGGGCTCGTGGGGTTCGCCTTACCCGTCGGTCCGGTTCGCTTTGCCCTTGCCCAAGGTCCTGGCACCACTGTCGTCGAGGAGTTCCTCCTCGAGATGCCACCTGCCTGCCGGTTCTCTCCCTCGGCCCCAGGGCTCCTGCCGTCCCCCGCTTCCTTGCCGTGGGCGCCCGCGTTTTGAAGCGATGTTCAGGGTCAGAGCTGCCCTGCCTTCGGTCCAGAAATGGCGTGCTGTTTCCTTTATTTCTGTCGGGGGTCTCACGCTGTCGCCCGGGCTGGAGGGCAGGTGGCACCATCCTGGCTCACCGGAGGGTCGACCCCTTGGACTTGGGCTCAGGTGACTGGGCCTCTCCAGGAGCTGGGACACCAGGCGTGTGCCTCCACACCCAGTGTTTCTTTTTCTTTTCTTTTTTCAGTTTGATTTTGTAGAGACGAGGTCTCTCCGTGATGGCCCTGGCTGGCCTCGAACTCCGGAGCTCACACAGTCCTCCCGCCTCGGCCTTCCGGAGTGTTGGGATTGCAGGCTTGAGCCACTGGGCCCCTCCGGTGTCTGGTATTTTTGACCCACTTGCTATGTCAGCTTCTCAGGTCTTAGGCAGAATTTGCTCTTTCTTGCAGTCTGAGACCGTGGAAGCCACAGTTGCATCACGGGATGCGTTGATATTTTCGATGCTACTGATCTTAGAGTTTAGTCAGCGGCAGCTACGGCTTTTTTTCCGCCGTGACATTTGCCAGAAGACAGAGGCAGACTTAGATCCTAAGATGTTTATTTCTTAGTCTTTTATGGACAAGATTGCAAGAGTGGCCTTTTGTGTGAAAGAAACTGAATGAGTTTTTGACGTTTTGTTACACATAATTTTAGTGTGGGTCTGCTGTTCAGTCTATAAGCAAATTTGTGACAGCATGACCATGGAGGGCAGCTGAAAGGTGGAAATAAACGTGTTGAAAATACCTTCTGGTGAGCAGTCAGGAACTGCCCTGATTTCGTCCAGAATAATAGATCTCAGTTATTTTAAGTTGGGAAAATGAACCAGTATAAGTATAGTAAATGCTTCATTGTTAATGTCAATTAGGCGCTATGGTAGAGAAATCCATTTGTTCAGGTGTCTATCTTTATTTTAAAAAATGCTCCAGAGCCTTACTTAACAAAACAAGAGTATATGCACTTTCTTTTTTCTCATTGCTGCCTGTAGCTAAGTTTTAAAAGATCTCAGTGACTGGATGAAGCAAAGGGACTGGGTTTGGTTTGGGTTAAATATCACCATGGAAATTTAACTCAACTTTTGGGGTAGTGGTCCTTATAAATGATTTCCTTTTATCCGTTTTGAAGTTGAGGGAAGTGGAGTGGTTTCTTTTTGTAGCATGGAAAACCTTTAAAGTGATAAGCTCGTTTTGTGCCTTTCTCATGAGAAGGGTGGGATGACATTTAGCTTTAGTGGTGTGCTGTATGTTAGATGTGAGTTCTTGAAGTTTGTTTTGGACCTCAGGTGCAGAGGATTGAGTCAGTCTCATTCAGTTCCGGAATCATCATTTAGTTCAAGGCATCTCCTGTTTTTTTCATTTGTTGCCTTTTATTCCCAAGTCTCACTCCATTCTCTTGCTCATCAACCCATTGGCAACCATTCTGTGTGATATGTGTCTTTCTCTCTCTCTCTCTCCGTGTGTGTGTGTGTGTGTGTGTGTGTGTGTGTGTGTGTGTGTGTTTTGAGTGGGAGTCTCACTCTGTGGCCCTGGCTGGAGTGCAGTGGCTTGATCTCGGCCACCACAGCCTCGACCTACTGGGCTCAGGTGGTCCTTTCGCTTCAGCCTTCCAAGTCGCTGGAACCACAGGCCCATGCCACCACGCCTGGCTAATTTTTTTCTTTTTTGTGTTATTATAGAGACGAGGACTTGCCATGTTGCCCAGTCTGGCCTTGAACTCCTGGGCTCAGGCAGTCTACCTTTCACCTCCGCCTCCCAAAGTGCTGGGATTACAGGCATGAGCCACTGCTCCCGGCTGTGTGTGTTTTTAATTATATGTTGTTTTGGGTGCCCACATTTCTAATTTATGGAGTTGATTTCATGCTATATATCTCATTAAATTTTTTTTGCTCTCACTGTGTTCTAAAGATCTGTTTGTGTTGAGGGTCATGCTTCTAACTGTTGCACAATATCATGGAATATACAAATCAAATCTACAGGTTATCTGTCTACACTTCTGTTTGTAGATACTCATGTTATATTCATTTTCCTACCACTGTAGACATTACTATGATAAGCGTACTTTTAGATCTCTGAGATACTTTCTTGGAGGTACGTATCCATGAATGTGATTTTGGGATCACTGGATATTCATATATTGTACCGAAGCACTACCATGTCATGTTTCAGGACAAACTGCCTTGGTCCATGCAACTTTCTTGTTGATTTGCAGAAGTTTCTTGTATTTCTTATGTAATAGTCTTTTAATTATTACAAGTGTGTCTGTTCCTAATCTGTCATTTGTCTCTGATGCCCTTTATTGAACCGAAATCTTCAATTTTGATATAATCAAATCAAAACATTTTTTAGTCATGTGGTTTGTATTTTGAGAGTTTTGTTTCAGAAGTCTTTCCCCAATTTTGTGCCGCAGAGTTACTCTCCTGTGTATGTACTACTAACTTCATAGCTTTCTTTTAAACCTATAAATCTTTTTTTTGATGCAAACAGAGTCTGCCTTTTTTATATGCCACAACTTTGTGATCTAATTTATCTTCCATATACTGTGCCAGCTTTCCTGGTGTCTTTCTCCCCTTTGTTGCCACACTTACTGTGTATTAAGGGTTCGTATGTAGTCTGAACACTGGATCCTGTTCCTTTGGCTTGTTCATCTGTTCTGGCTCTAATACTGTGGTGTTTTAGATACTATGGTTTTGTAGTATTTTTCCCTGTATACGAATAACTTCCCATTTATTTTTTATCTTATTTTATTTTTTTATTGTAGAATTGAGGGCTCACCAAGTTGGCCAGCCTGGTCTCGAACCTGTGGGCTCAGGCAGTCCTCTCACCTTGGCCTCCCAAAGTGCTGGGATTACAGGCATGAGCCACCATGCCCAGTTCCATTTATTTTCTTTTAGCTTTATTTTGTTATAATTATAGGTTCACAGGAAGTTGCAGAAATAGTACCGAGAGGTCTGATTTCTCTCAATGGTTACATTTTATACAAGTGTAGTACAATATCACAAACAAGAACTTGACTTTGTACAATGCCTGTGTATTGTTCTGTGCCATTTTATCCCCTGTGTAGATTCCTGTAACCACCTCTGCAATCATTAAAGCTGTTCTTTCTCTTACCCCTCTCTGGTTACATCTACCTGCCTTCCCTCACCATCTCTAGCCTCTAATCAGTTTCTGCCTCTATAATTCGTTATTACAAGAATGCTATGTACATTGAGACATACAACATGTAATCTTTGGAGATTGAAATTCATTCAAATTGTTGATTAAGACAATTATTGAGATTCATCCACATTTGTTACATATATCATTAGTTGTTCTTTTCAATTGTTGAGTAGTATTCCATGGTATGTATGTATTACAGTTTAATCATTTACCTGGACATCTGGGCTGTTTCCAATTTTTGGCTATTACAGATAAAGCTGCTTTGAACATTCTTATATAGTTTTCTTGCATGGATGTACGTTTTCAATTTTTCTTGGATATTTGCCTAGGAATGTGAATGCTGGATGGTATGGTAAACGTGTGTTTAGTTTATGAAGTAACTGTCCAGCTGTTTTCTAGAGTGGCTGTACCAGTTTATATTACTACAGCAGCATATGAGAGATTCTAGTTCTTTGTGTCTCACCAGCATTTGGTATTGTCACCATTTTTTATTTTGGCTATTCTAATAGATGTGTAGTGATATCTCAGTGTGGCCTTAATTTGCATTTCCCAAATGGTTAGTAACATGAAATATCTTGTAGGGCAGGTTCTCTCATCTTTGCCTATTTTCAAAGTTGGCTTAGCTAATTGTGGTTTTTTATTCTTTCCTGTATATTTTAGAGTCAGTTTGAGTTTCTAAAAACAATACCACTAGAACTAGGATTTTAGATTTATCTTGAAGAGATTCTACATCTTTATGATACAATGGCATCTTACCTGAGAACATGGAATGGTCTTCCATTTATGCCTTTGAGTAAAATTTTTTCATAGTTTAAAAAAATTTCAAGGGGCCAGGCATGGTGGTTCACGCCTGTAATCCTAGCACTTTGGGAGGCTGAGGCAGGAGGACCGCTTGAGGCCAGGAGTTCGAACTCAACCTGGGCAACATAGCAAGGCCCCATCTCAAAAAAATAAAACTTAAGTGTGTGTGGTGGCATATGCTTGTAGTCCCAGCTACTTGGAAGGCTGAGACAGGAGGATTGCTTGAGCCTAGGAGGTCAAGACTGCGGTCAGCTATGACTGTGCCATTGCGCTCAAGCCTGGGCCACAGAATAAGACACTATCTCTAAAATTAGAAATAAATATTTATGCAGACTCACATTGGGAGTGGTGTGCTATTTTTTAAGTGGATTAGTGCTG